TGGTAAACCTGAGACTAGGAAAACGAAAAACACGAGGGAAGACAGAAAAAGGGCAGGCAACATGTTTGTTTTTCTTTGGTCTTCCTTGGCGTATTTCGTGTTCCTACTATAATCTCAGGCTGACCGTCATGTCCAACTTACACCAACTCGCCTGCACTTTAACCCCTTTTTTTTTATTGATAAGGTTCCGTGTTTTGCGTCATATCTGTCAAGAAACGCCGAAACATAGCCTCCCAGCCGGTTTGAAGTAAATTGAGTGAAACCGAAAAACTCCGAACCCTAACCTGGCCATGAGTAAATATCTGTAGCATAAACTTAATTGTTGAGAGTTTTATGGTTCGTTGTCTCGACAAAAACAGCCACCCCACAATCGTCCCCGAAACTGTTCCTTTCTTCAAAATCCCCCATCTCGTGCTTCTTTTTTCTACTTCGGGTACTTTTGAAGTACAGCGTGTCTCTCCCCCCCAAAAAAATGTACCGAGATTTTATCACAAAAAGACAAAAAAAAAAACGACGTATCGCCGACCCCTTAATTTCCTGCCAAATGTAGCGCTAACGGTCCAGACCAGATGGCAAAGCTTCAGAATTAATCGTCATTTCATTTAAAAGCTCTAACTTATTTTCTAAAAATTTCAACGGGCAAATCAACGGGCTCGTTTTTGACCGTTTCGGTAACTGGCGCCTTTCAGCTCTATGTATTCGAGAGCTTGGTTAGCAACCATTTTCCCACTAAAAATTAAAAAAAAACAAAAAAACATTGCCTATAAATTTGGATTAAAATAAAGATTACTTCTGAAACTTTAGCTTCTAGTTTGGACCGCGCTGCGTTTGGGCAGAGCGTGTGCGTTTGCAATGCGTCGTAAATTTTTGGAATTAAGAAAAAAACAGAAAAGCTCTTATTAATATTATCAGTTTTTGTTTCTGTGTGTTTGGGGGGGGGGGGGGGGCGGAGAGCATTGTGCATTTGGGCCGTATATTCTTCGGAGTTTGTCAACTCGATATCCTCGTGCCCTGCTTTCTTTTATATAATCTCCGAAACAGTCCGACCTTTTATTTAGTTTAAACTGGAAATGGACACCTGAAAACACCGAATTCGTGGCGAGGAATAATTTTTAAACCCCGACGAACACTGAACCCTATACTTGTTGCCTGCGGAACGATAAGACGATGCCCCGGACTTGTCACACACTTTTATATCATTTAATTGGATTGGTTTATTTGCATCATGGACCAATTAAGTACACGATACAGGATGTGTCAGAAAAAAGCTGCCATAAAGGAAGCTCGGTTGAAGCCGCGTGTACCTGCGTTGACAGTTGTATGGCGCAAGCTAAGGAAACCTAGAAACAGGTCTATTTTTATCGTTAAAAAGAACCCTTAAAAATAGCATTAGCAAGAAAACAACAATATCGACATTCATTACGAATGAACATAGCGATGCTCGTGGGTTCATGAACTCTTCCAGGATATGCATGCAATATTTTATATATACTTATATATATATATATATATATATATATATATATATATATATATATATATATATATATATATATATATATATATTGTGTGTGTGTGTGCTGTCAAGATAACCTGCACCAATATTCGAAGGAAAATGCGCAGCGATTGGCGGGAGAGAAGCCAGCTGTATGTGATTAGCAAGCGTCTTACTAAAGTCCATCAAATTTTCGTAGTGCGCCTAGTTATTTAATTACTTAAAACAAACTAGTTAACTTTCTAGTTTTTCGTTTTGAGGGGCGAGGTGGGAATTGGAAGCCCGCACGTCATGCTTTCAGTTTTATCGGACGCTGCTCCGAAGAAACGATGTCCATCTTTTCCCTGGCGTGCTGTCCGACACAGGGCTTTGCGGTAGCAGGTGCCCGTGGTTATCTTCGAAACAACAAACACCGAACCCTGTTTCGGACAGCTCCGAGTGATAAGACGAACTTCCATTATTTTCCTCTTTGTTGTGGAGTTACTTTTTATACACGATCCACTATAGACAACAAACGGGGAATCGAAAATGCTTCATTGTTCCCGAAATTTTGTCGGGATGGTGCTCGACATAGCACGATTCACGTGTATAATTTTTAATCTCAAAGCTCGGCGCCATGACATCATTCTGCCGTCTGCGAAAGGAACTGATAATACAGCGGGGTTGAATGTCTTGCATGATGTCTGACAGATGGGGAGCCAAATATTCTCTTGTAGATTTGGCCCCGCCGTCAGCCCTTTAGCTTCCCTCGGAAAGTGCGGTGTCTCATCAACACATACGTCTGTCGTCTCTGTGTCCAAATGACTGCTTGAGCTGCACAGGATAGCCTCACAGTTCTTGTTGAATAACGAAGAGTCAATCAGGGTTTCTGAGCCCGAACCCCGCAAAAGGCCCGTTTCGAAAGACAGGCCCTCTGCTGGAAGCCCCAGAAATCCTGCATAATCTCGGAAATCCTGCACAATGACGTTGCGGCACAACCGCAGCGTCACGGCACGCTTTATAAGTTTGGTTGAACTATAGAGCAAAAACGCACTCGCAGAAAAAAAAAAAAAAAAGGTGACGAGAGTAATGACGTTGCACTTTCGACGCTGTTTGATCGCCTCGTCGGCTCATAGCGTTGACCACGCTCCAACATTCGCTATCTCATGAAATGGCTTGCACGCCTCACGATGTTAGTCGTTCCTCCATTGTTTAGTGGCTTTCCGACCTTCTGATAATCGGCACGTGACTTTCGAAAAGGGGTCTATTGCAAAAGAGGAAATCAAGGTTACTGAGCCCGAACCCCGCAATCGCCCTACGACAGTTTCCTCAGTACTCTATTTCAGCCTATAGACATTTGCATTGCTGATCACCCGGGCTAAATATGCTGAGTCACTGAGGCGTGGACGCATGCGCAGCTTGTGATATACCGCACAACAGATCAACACCGCATGCGTTCCACAGCCCTGCACACAAAGATGGCAGCTCGCAGAAGGCGAGTTTTGTGAAGGTGTATAGACCAGAGCCGACGCGACGATCCCATAGAGCCAACCAAGCAGCACCAAAAGTGCACAGTCATGGCACTTGTCACCTTTGTGTGTTTTAGCTATCCTAGGCAAGAACCTACACGCGCAGTGAATACCCGGCGATCCTCCGCTCTTCTGAGCGCGATCGGTTTAGCCGGAGATCGCAAACGCCCAACGACGAGAGCCCCAGTGACGAGATACTTTTGCTTTTGGCATCGCGTGATTGGTATCAACGGATTGTTCGGCGAAATAGAGTCTTGTCGTGTTCATCTATAGCCTCCTATATACTTACAAAGCCTGGCAGATCGCCATGAGAAGCGGCCGCCTAAATGGAAAAGGTGGAGCGGCAGACAACGGATGAAAGGAGAACCACGTGACATACGTCCCGCTGCTGCGAGACGCCGAAACACACTTCTCCCGAGCGAACAAGTCTGTTTCGGGTCCTTGCCACTGGAAAAACTGTGCGCTGACGTCCAGGTTCCCCGAGAAGTGGCTCTTTGGTGCTCTGTGCTACCAGATCCTCGCGCTCCAAATCTGCGACCGGGCACTCTATGGCTCCGTCGTCGAACTGCCAGGCTTTGTGAGAATAGAGAAGGCTATGGTTCATCTTTTCAACGCATGTGTGAGGCGAGGTTCGAACAGTGTTGTGCAGAATGCGGTGAGCAAGCGTTCTGAAATGCCTCTTTGGTGCGTCGGAATGCAAGGTATGGATGTCCAACCAGAGGGAAACTTAGAGAACGCCCAAGGAATGCGCGATTACGAGGCAGTCAAGCTTGCGCCGTCAATTGGCTGAGGTCGAGGGGAAACAAGAGCACGCGGCCATATTTGGCGGGTGCAGAAGCGCTGCAGATGTGCAAGGAGCAGACGAACTTGCGCGTCGTATAGGCCCTTTGAGCAACGCAAACTGCACCCGCCTTTGGAGTTGCAGACGGAGTTCTGCTACATTTTTTTTAACGCTTCACCGTGCTCAAACGTGTTTGACACCTGCCACAGAAAAACAGGCACTGAGAACAGTCCGCTCTGACGATGTGACCTCAACGAACGTTGGCTTGAACACCGCGCCAGAATCTCTTCGCTTCAACGCGTTCATACAACAGTATACTACCGCCGTTGAGGCACGAAGTTTGGGTCAATGACGAAGCAGCGTCTAAGCAACAAGCGTAGTGCAAGCGCCAAGTTTTACATGACGTGGCGCACCCAGCAAACGTCTTTAAAATCCCAAGCATGTTTCCCATAGAGAAGCATGGGAAACCGGGACCTCGACAGACTGACATTTGCCGCATATTGAGGAGCCATCTGGTGTCGCCGCTTCCAAACAAGGAGAGGACTGTATATGGCAGCTCAGACGCGAGCAGTGTCTACCCCTATCTACATACCTCACGTTGGAGTTGAGGACATGGGGAAATAAAACCCGTATGCGTGTTTTGCGGGTAGAGAAACCAGCGAGGTGCCCAAAATGCAGTATATCCCCTCGCTCGACACCAACGACGCAGCGCCGTTCAACTCGCTGACAAATCTCAGCTACATTCTCTCTTCCGCTTTACCTTCATCAAACGTGTTTTATAGCTGCTGCACAAAGGAGGTACGCATTATCACGATATCATAGATATCTATAAAAACTTAAATGCTTCTCAAATTGAATGAGGAAGTTCGTGCGCGTAATCGACGGGAAGGAAAGATTACGACACTGTCGTTTCCAGGGCTAAAAAGAAATTAAAGAAAAAAGGACTGCGCCGTTACTCATATACGTTATTGACGCGATCAGATACTCCAAACCTCTCCCAGCTGTCCTGTTTGCTTTCCAATCCTAAAATTAAAATCAGTTCAGGTGGTTACGCAAGTTTGAGTTTTCGGATTTTAAATATACTGTCTGGGGACCATTTTCTATTTTTTTGTTTCTATACAAATATAATTTTGTGGTGTCAGAAATACCTGAAGAAAACTGAGTTATTTATTCGCTCGTTCATCACAAATGCTTTCTCGTTTTTGCTCGATTTCAGGTAAGGAGTATACTGAAGGCCCACACAACATTTTGTATTTTGATTTACAACGTCCATCATGACGACGTCCAAAACACCTGCGACAGGGGAAAATTCCTGCTCACAACGGCCGCGAGGAAAGCCTTCGACAACACCTAGAATCATCGGAGTCCGTATCGTTGGTAGATGCCCCCTTCAGTGTATGCGTTTTGGCGCCAAATGGGCACATCTCAAAGCAGCACGTTTTAAGGTGCACTTGAGGCTCGTTCAGCATACCTTTCTTCCTCTGGCAAGAGGAAAAATGTATACTGAACGATGTATACAACAAATAATGCTATACAACGAATAAACGACTTGCGTGAAGATCGCCCATATAAAAATGTATATTTTGAAGTTGATTCGTGCTTCATTAGAGAGTTTTAGTAGATCGTTCCTATAACGATACCCTATAACGATACGATAACCATACGATACCGATACACAGAACAGGAATGAGCGTTTAGTAGACCGTTTTGAAGACGATACATCCGATACGGTCACTTAAGGCGCTGGGGCACTCCCTAGTGGAAACGATTTGCAATTTCCAAAACGAAAAATAACGAAATAAAAGAAAGATGTTTCACTGAAGGAAAATTAACAGTTCTTACATTTAATAGAATTAAGAAAAACATCAATTAAGTTTTATAATTTGCAGAAATTAGAGAAATGCAGCAGCAAGCTACATCTAGCCAACTAAAGACATGCCAATTTAGCCATAGAAAGCACGGGTGGCACGGGCGTGAGCGAGTCGAGCGAGTGACCAACCTGAGCCGTGGCGACGTGGGTTTTCGAGGATCCCTTGGCCTTAGCTGTTTTGAGGTGGGACGAAATGGAAGAACTCTCCTTTCTGGATATGGAGTACCCCGTTCCGCGGAGGTTTAGGTCCGGGCGAGGCTACTTGGATGTGCTGAACATAGATAGTGAAGCTTTCCGCCATCAGTTTCGTTTTGAGCAGATGGACTTAATGGAGCTGTGTAGCGCGCTGCGAGTCCCTCATACAATTAGGACGGCCCAGAACGTCGCCATCCCCGGGCAGGAAGCTCTGTGTATTCTTCTGCGGAGACTCTCCTACCCCAACCGCCTCTGCGACCTGGAAGGCATGTTTGGCCGCCACTCTTCGACACTTTCGAGTGCGACGACCGTGGTGCTAAACCATTTGACGTCCACGTTCGGGCAGCTGACCGCGGATCTGTCAGCTCACACGTGGTTGAACCGTGCAAGCTTGGACGAGTTCTCCGAGGTAAGCATATTGTAAAGTTAAATTAAAAACACAAAAAAGAAAAAAAAATGCAAGTGCGTTGTTGATTTTGCTTTTGCAGGCGGTCCGCGCGAAGGGGGCACCTCTTCAGAATTGCTGGGGTTTCGTTGATGGAACGGCCCGCCCCATCTGCCGACCCACGGAGGACCAGCGGCTTTATTTCTCTGGCCACAAGCGTGTGCACGCCATCAAGTACCAGGGCGTCATGTGTGCCAACGGCATCATCGTGGAGATGAATGGCCCTTACCCGGGACACCGACACGACGCCGGTAAGTCAATAGCAAAAACTCGGAAATCGTAACCTACAGGTTCTTGGAAGAAGCGCTCATAAATAGAGGAACAGCCTCTATCACAGCCAAAATAAGTTGAAACGCCACAGGCAAGACCCGTGCTGCTATCAAGGCAGCCTGTGGAATTGTTCTGCAAACTGTGATGGGCGCCGTAGCCAACACAGAGTTCCTTCTACACTGGCGGCTCACCTCTATATTTCCGTGTCGTCTGCTATTGAGCAAATGGTTGCGACATTTCTTCCTTTCGCCAAACCTCAAAACCCACGCACGATGCAGAATAAATCTTTATTGCAGATCTTGTCGAAAGACTTTGCTTATGATAACACAATAATTGGTAAACGATTTAGTGCCCGAAACACATAGATCGCACCTACAGGAATGTGGTTCGACCTCAGGGTACACCACGTAAAGGGCGTTTTCCTGTTTCAAGGGACAGGGACCGCCAGCTTGCCAGAGCTGCATCGGTGAATAGACCTTTTTCAAAGCACGATGCTGCTGTCCACAGCACCGGGGAGGCGACAGCAAAGTAAGGCGAGCAACTGTGCTATACCTCTTGCTCTCTTCAGTGTCAGGGGGGGCAGGCAATGAGGGATTTTTGCAAAAAGCCTATTCCTTCCAATTGGAGTGGGAGCTTCAAGATGACCCGACCATCGAGGCATCCATTTGAACAGAACTGCTGTTTCATAGGCAGAGAACACAGAAGTTCAGGGTGGCACAACGAGCGCAGAAAGGGGTATGTCTTGGCCTCATCGTGCATCACAGTTTGCAGAACAGTGCGGCAGGCGGCTTGGAAAGTACTGCCTGCCTCACATCCTGGCTTTTCAGCTCATCTTGGCCGCGATAGTACAGAAGAAATACTATTTCATGCTTAAATGCTGAAAGTCAAGCTGGTGTTCTTCGGACAGGGAGTTAAACTCTTAAACTGGGGTGGAAAAATAATGTGACAGTACGAAGGGAGGCAAACACTTGTCCCATTGCTTTTTTGTTAAAGGGCGTTGTTGTATAAGCTTGGGACTGTGGAATAAAAGAAGACAAAGCTGAGAATGGATCAGGAATGGCAGTCCTTTACTCCTATCCTAACATGTCAGTTATGACTACTGCAGTAGACCTATTGCCACTGAATGCAGCACTTACCCTTGCGTGGTTACTTGTTTCATTAGGCTGCTTGCCAGAGTTGCGGATAGTTTTCCAGCGTGTTCGATCGTGCAGACGAGAGCCTGCATGCGAGCTGCCAACTTGGCAGCTCACAAGATCATCGGGCATTCCAGTAAACCAATGTTTCGGTAACCATTAGCCCAGTTATTGAACACATGGTGGCAGCAGTCACAGTCGCTGACGCAGTGCAAGACACTGGCCGAACAAGGGCAGCAAGCTAAAACGATGTCAAGCTGGTAACCTAAGACTGTGCCTAACTGCCGTGGTGGGAATGATTTGTCCGCAGAAGTAAAAGTTGAGGGCTTTATGTGCCAAAGTAACGACGGGCGACTGGCACGCACCAGTGGAGGATTAATTTATACCTCCTGGGTATCTCGATGTGCAACAAAAAGCTCGGTTACGACGGCACCTTCTCTGTAATAAGCCTCTATCAGAGTGCTAGCCGCCTCGGTGGCTCCGAGGCGAGAGCGCTGTCCTACGGATCCCCATGTCGCGGGTTCGAATCCCGGCCGAGGTGCCCGCAATCTGACGGAGGCTTATTGCAGAGGAGGCGCCGTGTAACCGAGCTTTCGGTTGCACGTCAAAAGATCCCCAGGTGGTCCAAATAAATCCTTAGTCCTCCGCTGGGGCGTGCCAGATACCCGTCGTTGGTTTGGCACGTAAAACCCCCAAATTTGACTGTTCCATCAGAGTGCTGGCACCTCGGCGGGGATTCGAACCCGCCACCTGAGGATCCGTAGGCCGACGCTTTGCCTCGACCGAGGCGGCTGATGCGTCCACAGCTCTGATGTAAATCCCTTCGCGTTTGAAATGCCAACAAATTTGTATGTTTTCAAACTGGAACATTAAACAAGGTGGCTGTGGCAGTGGCAACAGTACCCTCTGACCTCTAAATTGGCAAAGCCAAACAAGGTCACACAAATCAATGTTTTGCTCTATGCAGTGAGGAAAGGGCGTGTAGATCTTTGTGGCTTATCGACGTGCAGGTGGTGATTGTCACTATATGCTACTCAGTGTTTTATCGTTGTGTCTCGTCTGACTCCTTTTTCAGGTATCCTGCGGCTGAGCGGCCTTTATGAAAGGCTTGAGGACCTCGTGCAGGGCAGCGTATGCACGATCTACGGTGACCCTGCCTATCCTTTGCGGCCTTTGTTGCAGAAACCATTCATGGGTGCTAGCTTGACTGCCGCAGAGCAGAACTTTAACAAAAAAATGAGCAGCGTGAGGCAAGCAGTAGAATGGGGCTTTGGGAAAGTGTCAACTCTCTTCGCTTTTGTAGATTTAAAAAAAAATCAGAAGCACAGGCTGCAGCGCGTGAGCGATATGTATCAGGCTGCAACACTGTTAACAAACTGCCACACGTGCCTGTATGGCAGCCAAACCTCCACGTACTTTCAGCTGTCTCCGCCGACGCTGGATGAATATCTTTCACCTCGTTATTGACTTCGTATAATTTGAATTCTTTTTGTGCAATCTTTTTTTTGTCCGAGTGCCTATAGTCTGTTGCATGTTGCAACACGAGAGGGTAGGGCGAGGGAAAGGGAGGCCAGGGAGGAGGAAGTAGACGGAACCCTGGAGAGGAGTGGGGGAAACCTCCTCCTCTAGCGTTTCATCTGCTTCCTCCTCCTTTGTCTTTCTTTTTCTCGCCCTACCTTCTTAGTTGCAACAGACCATAGCATTTTTTATGACTATTTATTCCACGGGATGACTTTTGTGCAATTGTCTGGTTGCTTACCTGCTGCATTTCTTTTATCTGCCTCTTGTGTTCTTTTCAAAGCAGCAACCGTGTTCCTATATTGTTTTAGTTTTGTGAACGATACAGGTTTATATGTTAAGTATATGCTATTTCTGTTATTCGTCAAGCGCCTTCAGCTTGACAAATTTTATCAGCGTGGTGATTTTCAAGTGTCTTATGTTATTGCTTTGCCAGTCATTGCCAACATAGCATTTGCTGTCTGTTCAATATTACACTCAAAATATTTCTTTGTATAGTAAATCGAACGGGCCTACCCCTGCCGTTTTTTTTTCAACTACATTGTTTAATGAAATGAAAGATTTATTGCATTATGTATTATGATGTCATACCACTTGTTCACACTTAACTTTACTTGTTAATTTGACCATTCACTACTTTAAGGTAATGTTCTTGCAGTTGGAGACGAAGCCTCCTCTCCTCTGCTCCAGCCTCCTGTAGCACATAAAATTTTTCTCTTTCAAACGCTAAGCGATTTTCGCTTAAGGTCACCTGGCGCTCTTCAATGGCCAGGCGCCTCTCCATCTGGCGCTCCTCCATGGCGAGACGCCTTTCCTCAAGAGCGATCTCTAGTTTTTTTATGCTGCGGTCCTCTTCTGCTCTCTTCTCCAGCGATGCAAGGTGCTCCCTGTACCGCTTCTGCCTGGTTGCTGGAAAAATACAACAAAGGAAACAATGCACACAGCATCAAATAAACAACTTTTTTAAAATTTTTCTTAGTGTGTAGGTTGACAATTGATTGAATGTTTATTTTATTGGACCTGGCAATTCAATGAAGGTACTGCACAAAAAATACTGGGTAATTCATGTGTGTTCAAACAGTGACTGAGATATGTCTGTCTGGTAAGCAAAAAATAACAAATGTAAATCACAGCCCAAGACTTCTAGAGCAGATTTGGAGAA